TAGAAAACTAGGTTTTAGTGGCTTTATAGGACAATTAAAACCTATAAACAATTGAAAACAAGCTCACCAAATGCGTCAATACGTTAATAACTTTGTAAGCTGTATTTTTCAACACCTAAGGATTTCAGTATCGATCGTCTCCTTCCTCATAATCTTCGCCCTCGTGTTCGGCGAGCTCACCACACATTTCTTCGGCCGAAAAGAGTACAAATACAGTTTTGATGTGGATACGGATTATGACGAGTAAGTCCTACATGTTTAAGGTATGATACCGATGCCTGCATGATTGAGAATTACGTAAAAACTCTGTTTTTAGAATGCCAAACCTCGAATTTGACATGGTCGTCGCTACACCCTGCAACTCACTACATATTACAAATACGGCTGAGCCAGAAAATGACAAAGCTAGAGGCTTCTTCCCTGATCAGGCTCAAAATGTTATCAAGCAGGACCCGACTCGGTAGGTGTTTCCGGAAGTTAATACATGACTTCCCATAGAAAATTTGAAAACCGACACCTTCCAGATTTGATTTCACCGACGAGGAGCAAATGTACTGGACGATACTTCGGCATGCTCATGATAATATGAATAAGAACGCGATGCGGGGGTTGGAAGAGGTGAGAGAGCGAGAGAGAGAGAGAGAGAGAGAGAGAGAAGAGCCGAGAGAACATTTTATTCAACTTTAGCTCCAATACATCGATGACGATGTCGAGGACAAACTGGAAGAAATCGCAGATGAAAAACAAAAAGCAGAAGCGGAAGCTATCAAGGCTGATCGGCAGAAGTTGGACAAAGAACACGGGCATCCGCATCACGGTGGTGGTGGAGGGAATATCGTAAGTTGTAACACTAAAAATTATAAATTTCAAGGTCACATGATTATGCGGAAAATTATGTAGGATAAAATTTTGCTATTAGTAGGTTGCGCTACTACTTTTTAAATATCAGTTATAGGGCTTCAAAGCGAAGATCTTGCTCCAATTCAGATAATTTTCGAAAAACCCTTCAACGGCTCAAATTTTCAGGTCTTTATGGTCGGCAACGGAATGGGCATGTTCCAGATTATGGCCAATAATGGGGCTGATGAAGGTAAGGGTCTTAATTATGCTTTAGGGAGAGCTAAAGAAAGGTTTTTAGGGCGTATAGAAACGTTGGTCTACTTTTAACTTGCAAAAAATTTATTTCAGGCTCCGCTTGTCGTGTCCATGGCAAATTCCCGGTCCGCAAGGGTAAGGAGCAAAAGCTGGTGATGACGATCGGAAGCGGGATCAATATTGGAGGAATGTTTGCGCATGTTGAGGGGATGGGAGGGCGTGAGTTTTAATATATAGAATGCCCTAAATTTATACTACATTTACTTATCACTTTAAACTTAAATAAATCGTGAACTTCTGATTTCAGAAGGTAACGTATCGCACCGCATTGAACGCTTCGTCTTTGGCCGTCGAATCAACGGTCTGGTCAGCCCGCTTTCTGGAGGAGAACAAATTTCTGAATCAGGTATGTTTTAGGGTACCTTAATGCTAATTGCGCCTTTTCAGGAAAAGACCTCTACCGCTATTTCATCAAAATCGTGCCGACCAAAATCTACAACGGTCTTTTTGGCGGTTTTACCATGGCTTATCAATATTCTGTGACGTTTTTGGTGAGTTTTCGACAAAAAATGGTCTATCCACGACTTTGAGCTATTTTTATATAACTTAACGATATTAAAGATTACACCTTGATTCACGAGTACCAAATGCGAAAAAAACCTTTTTCAGAAAAAAGAAACCAAAACCGACGAGCACGCGCATGGAGGGATACTTTTTGAATATGAGTTCACGGCTACTGTCATTGAGATTCGACAAATCATCCGGTAGGCTTTGCTGGCTTCTTCAAGAAAATTAAAAACCAGAAATAACTCGCTTAGGTCTAAAAAAAGCTTTAATCCTTTAAACAATCAAAAACTATACCACTTTCTGAGCACCCGAGGTGCCGTTGGATTCTCTTATCAGCCTTCGCCGAAATTAGCAGTTGCTGGGAGGTCTGGCCTGGTGCGGTAGTTTCGATTTTTCGGCCTAGAACCACCTAAACTCGCAATAGGAATAGGCTGTTATTTATGCACCAGCGCTGACCCCCCGCTACGCGGGGGTTCAGCGGGCCTCCCCCCCCGCAATTTGAATTTGGAATTTGGAATTTGCATGCAAAATTTGGCTGAATTCCCGGTCGGGCGGTCGGTCGGACGGACGGGCGTACGGACATTAGAAATTTATATATTTATGCATTACTCACAATTCGTCACGTTTTTAAAACTTAAATTTTAGTCCGAGCATTTATGCTATTTCTCGCGATTGACGAGCCTAAAAATAACGCTAAACTATTGTAATAATACCAGGCATTTTCTGCGGCTCCTATTAATGTGCAAACTACACGTTTTCGCAAAATCGATCAAAACCCTTTATGCCCCTTTCTTTTCTGTCTGCCGCATCTTTTCGAACCCTCTTCGAACCACCAAATCCAATCAGCCGCCTTCCCAATGCCCTACGGCAAAATGCAGTAAATATCCGCACTCGGTCGTTCTCTCTCTCTCTCTCTCTCTCTCTCTCTCTCTCTCTCTCTCGCTCTCTCTCCCTCTCTCTCTCTCTCTCGCTTTCTCTCTCTCTCTCTCTCACTTTTTTTTGTTTTCTTGAACTCCTCGGGAACTCGGCCAATCTCTCACAGCTGACCCCCATCTCATTGGGCATTGATTTTTGATCTTGTTACTTCCGCTTCGGGCATGATCTGGCGATTCTAAGCATCGTATTGATTATTTTCATAATTTAGTCGTTTTATTCGTTTAGCAACGTATCTTGAGGTATCTTATTCTCTTGAAATCCTATCCTATAAGCGAGAAAAGTATGTCTGTTTTCTGTGCAGCCGATTTCTCGGCCGTCAGGCCGAATTTCGCGCTGATTTTTGGCATGGATGTGGAGAAACACATTTGTCAGACACGCATTTTTTCGTTTTTCGAAATTCCTTTATTTAACGATTTTACAAACAAAACGGTGAAAATCCTTAACAAAATGGGCTACGAGCCGTGGTGTCCAGGCCATAACTCGAAGCCCTGATGGAATTTCGGTCTGTAATTTGGACCACTGATGTATTCGATAGTGGGGATCACGCGCATCTTATTAGTTTTACAAATTATCGGCGCATTCAGACTAAAAAAAGCTATTTTGTAAAGTTACCAGGAAGCTTCTCTCCCGGGTTAACCACGCCCCCAGCACAGAAGAGGCCTTTCCCGCGACCCTTCCCCATGCCGTCTTTGGTATAATGGCTAGACGCCCGGTCCACCACGCGCATAGGCGAGGGTTCGGATCCTCGGCAAATTTACCTTTTTGCTTTTTGGTATTTCAACAACACAACATATTTCGAGGCTCTCGGTATCCGAAATTTAGGCCAGTCCCTCGCTCTAGCGCCGAAGGCCAAAGCAACGGTCCTTGGCCCAGGCTCTAGCGCCGCAGGCCAAATGCTGGAGAAAAACCAGTAGCTAGCGCCGCAGGCCAGAGAATGGTCCCTAGAGTCAGGCTCTTGCGCCGCAGGCTTGGAAAACGGAAGGGGGAATATATGGTTCCCAGATGGGGGCCAGTGGAAAAGGGCCGCGAAGCGGACATTTTCCACTGGTCAATATATACGTCAGTAGCTCTGTTTTTGACGGGTTCTCGTCAACATGGAGCTTTGTTGTCCTTTAATTGCTTTCCAATGGCTTTCAATCAATAGGAAATGCACATTGAGCCAGCATTCTGCTTATTTTTCGGGTGATAAATGGGGAGTGTTTCTCTTGCTGTCTCTCTTGCTCCCTCTCTCTCCCTCTCTCTCTCTGTCTCTCTCGCTCTCTCTCATCTCAATCGACCTTGTTCCAATGCACAGGAACGTGTAAATAATTCGTCATTTGCCCTAAGCGGAACAAAGAACGGATTTTGATAAATTTTTGCTTAGGTTCGCTCTCGATGTTTCCCGATATTTTTTGATATATTCCGCATGAAATTTTAAATCAGCTCAACATTAAATGTATTATTTTTGCTTCAAACCGTAACCGTGAATGTTTTTTCCAGCTCCTGGCTCCAACTCCTGCTCCGGATCTGCGCTGTCGTAGGCGGCGTCTACGCAACCAGCTCCTTGGTTCACAGCTTTGTCGCCTCAATTTTCTGCCTCACCTTCGGGGCCCCGGATCAGAAGCCGTTGATCAATGACAACGATCAGATTGATGACAAAACGAGGATGACCCTGTTGACGGATACGAATATTTTGGTTCATTAAACTTTCTAGGGTATAATAATGTCTTTGTCTTTATTGCCTCCTAAATTATGCGAATTTTTACTTTAAATTGTTTGGCAAGGCAGAGTTATAGATTTTTTGTCCCGATTTTCATGCACCGCGACACGCAACGCGCACACAACTGGTCCGCTTTTTATGTATCGTAATTCCCTACGCAACGTAAACGTACTGTAACGTACTGAACGCACTGAGTACGGTAAGTGCGCTTTCATGTGAGTTGCAACCGTGCCAAAATCCATAACCAAAAAACCGAGCATGACTTGCCGATCCCTTTAAAGCTAATCATCGACTTTTCTAGTCAAATTTCTAGACCAGATTTTTTCTTAAATTGCTAACAGCAATAATTGCCTTTACCTCCCCAACGAATGCACTTAATTTAATGAAATTTGTTATTTTTTGGCGTCCTGGTTGCGTTTTTATGTTATTTTGGGCCCTATCACTTATCCCATCCCTGATTATATCCACACTCTTTTCTACATATTGTGATATTTTTCCGAATGCGGTTTTTTTGGGCTTTCACGGGTGTTAAATAATATTTATGGTTTGTTATCATGCCAAAAATAAACATTTATTGGGATTTGCAACGTGTTTTAAATTTGATAGCTGAAAATCAAGGTCCTACGGACTTGCTGATGCTTTGATTACTGTACTATTTTTTCTATGAACGAATTTAATCGCCAATCTATACATTCAGGGCAAAATGGGCGGCGGGGACCAGAAGCAGTTCTCGTAAGTTTTTGGGAGAAAAGGCCGGGTTGTTATCAGAATGTCGAAATTCCACAATGTCGAATTCGTACTGTCGAAAGTTGATGGTGTCGTCATTACATAATGACGAATTTTTTTGCATAAGCATTTGCGGGTTTTCCGGGAAATTTGCTTTATAGGTTTCGATATTCTAAATCTCGACATTTTTGGAAACAGTTTTCGTTATGCGATGGCTTATCTTAAGCTATCCTTAGCTATCTTTAGCTACGTTATCCTAAAGTTTGATTGCATTAAAGCTATAATTCATTCATTAACTTTTCAGCTACCTGCCAAAGGTGATGAACGGCGGGTTGGCGGGTATTGTCGGTGTGACATGCGTTTTTCCACTTGATCTGGTGAAAACGAGGCTCCAGAATCAAGTGATCGTCGACGGGAAGCCGCAGTACACCGGAATGTAAGTAAAAGAAGCGTAAAATAAGCGACAGCATCTGAATATCTTTAGTCTGGACTGCTTCAAGAAGACGTTCCGCGCCCAGGGCTTCTTCGGCATGTACAGCGGCTCCGGAGTCAACATACTGTTGATCACCCCCGAGAAGGCCATCAAACTTGTCGCGAACGATTTCTTCAGAACGAAGTTGGCTTCACCTGGAGAAAAGTGAGGATTTTTTTGATCTTAAATGCACCTAAATTCATACTACCTAGACGTCAATCCGGCCTTTTTATAGTTCAAAGCGTAGATCGAAGTACCTTTTTAAGTAAATATTCGTAGGGTACCTTAAATATATCTATTCTTTAGACACCTCGCCGCCTGGAAGGGTATGGTGGCCGGAGGGTTGGCCGGATTCTTCCAAATCTACGTCACCACTCCCATGGAGTTGTTGAAGATTCAGATGCAGCAGCAAGGAGCTCTGGCTGGTAGGCTACCGACGTTAATGATACCCTCTTTTCGAACTTGTTATTAAGCAACGTAAAACTCATCATGAATGATGAGTTTAGGTACCAAGAAGCAGTCCGCCTGGCAACTAACGACACAACTATTCAAGGAACGAGGAATCGCCGGGCTGTATCGCGTAAGTTAAATACCTAATTGTGAAAAAAGCGAATGCTTCTAATTCTAATTTCTTGTATCGCCTTCTCTTAATGCCGTTTAGTTTTTATTAACGACCAAATACCAATGGGTATACCGAGTGCTTCACAAATTAACGAGGATCCTAGGTCGAAAACAACGATTAAAATACAAGGATCAGGGTTTCAAAGGTTCAAAAATTTATAGAAAATTTTTTTTGGGAATGGTCAGCTTCAATAGAATGGATAGAATCTGCCAGTCCTTCCCTTTTTGGACCATTTTCTGCTTTTCCTGCTTTCAACTAGGCTTTTTTTGCTTTTTTCGCACCGCCAGGAACATTTGTTGCTTAAAAATACACACATGCTTTGTCAGGGGTCGCGAATATTGTCATATTTAGGGCATCACCTCGACGATGGCCCGCGACGTCACCTTCTCCGTCATTTACTTCCCACTCTTTGCACAGTTGGATTCAATGGCACCGAGAAAAGCTGATGGAAGTGGTGATGCTGTCTTCTACGGGTCGTTCCTTTCTGGATTGGCTGCTGGAGCGACTGCTTCATTTTCGGTTACACCGCTTGATGGTAAGGGAGAGGGAGAAAGAGGGAGAGAGAAAGAGAGCGAAAGAGAGAGAGAGTGAGGGAGCGAGAGAGAGCGAGCAATAGACAAAGTAAGATCCTGATTTCAGTAATCAAGACCCGGATGCAGACGATCGGACTACAGGTCAAATATAACGGGATTGTAGATGCTTTCTTGTAAGTTTTAAGATATTTAATTGTAAATAAAATTAAAGTAAAGTTTTAAAGTTTGATTTTTTATACAAAAATTGATTTCCAGCACGATCCTCCGAACGGAAGGGCCAAAGGCGCTTTTCAAGGGAGCCGGATGTCGTATGCTGGTAAGTTGATCGTCTCTCTCTCTCTCGCTCTATCTCGTTCTAACTCGAAATTTTCCAGGTGATGGCCCCACTCTTCGGTATAGCCCAAACCGTCTACTACATCGGAGTCGCGGAGAAGCTGCTTGGACGCGAAAAGGCAGCTCATGTCTAGAAAATTGAAGAATTGAAACATCGAATAGGTTATATTTAATTTGACTTAATGACTAAGCAATCCCCCGCCGTGCCTTGTATCGAAGCCATTGCTACATCTCTGTATGCACCAAATTTTCGAAAAGTCTTGCCCAATTTGACAATTTTTATGTTACCCTGTTTTTCCATTCTCCAAAGACTCACCCCTGTGAATACATAGCGAATTCGAATAGCTGTGAGATTTTTGCAACATAAAAACTTATCAATTTGGCTTTCGACATTTTTGAAATTACGTTAATTGAAGCAAAATCTGGATATCGTATTTGTTTGATTTAACAAGTACACAAGTAACTGGCTTCGTTCTTTCAGATACCTCTCAAATCACTCAAAAAACTCCCAATAAAGAGGCCTGGAAAAAAAAATCATAAACTAACTATCTATAAAAAATAGTGACTGTGTGTGTGTGTGTGTGCCACTTTGCATGCAACTTCCGTCACCATGCCCGGGGGATATCCCGATAGGGGATGAATTTTATGGCACATATGATACGTCATTAGGTGCGTAATGGCCCTGGGATGACCGCTTATCAGTTTTTACAAAAAGAACTATTTTCGACATCCTACTATATATAAAAAAATAGTGTATGTGTGTGCCACTTTGCATCCACTTCCGTATCGTTGTTCCAGTCATATCTCAAGAAGCGTAGAAATCTAAGGGGAGTATGGTACGTCATTAGGTGCGCAATGGTCTTGAGATGACTGCACACTTATGCTATCTGTTAAAACTACCCATTGTTCGATAATAAATTTAAGTTTTTGTGAAACCTTTTTTGTTATTAAATAATTAGCACGGACCGGAAGTAGGGAGTCGGCTATATAAAGGGGCAGAAGAAGTTGTTTTTCCTTTTTTTGTCATCTGAATTGCAGGAAATTATGCAAAGCGAAGAATAACAAAAGGACCAGACGGAGCCAGGGTTGAAAAGTCGCGAAGCGGCTTTTCAACTCTGGTTACATTTAAGTTTTTATAAAATTTTCGTTAATCCTCTTTGTTAGGAAAAATCACCATAAACCGGAAGTGGCAAAAACCTATATAATCAGCCAGAGAGCGTCGTTTTCCATTTTTCTCATCGAAATTCGAGAGACGTATGCAAAGTGAGGAATATTCAGGGGTTAGACGGGGCCAGGGTTGAAAAGTCTCGATGCGGCTTTTCAACCTTGGTTTTGCCAAAAATTGTGATGCGTTTTGTAGCTTTCCAAATTCAAAAAAGATCACCTGTATTATTAAAAAGTGGATTTTGAAAAATCTTTATCCAGGAAACACACAAGGCCAATGGTCGGAGTCAGTTGAGCAACGAACAGGAGGAGGAGGGAGAAAAACACAGGCGCGCACTATCCCGCAACAATTGATACCATATTCTCAAAAATAGATCCAGAAAAGATCTAAAAACAAAGAAAAAACAAATAGAATTCGAGATAAAGGGTGGAATGGCAGAGCGAAAAGAGGGAGAGAAAAACGCAAAAACAACAAATACGAGAAAATTGTCGCCGTTTTGTTCAGAAAGATGGGGAGATCACATCACAGTTATTGCCTGGACCAAACGAATAATGGGGGGAGGGGAAAATACGGTAGGAGGGGTGCAAAATAGGGAAACCAGTGGAGGACAAGTCGATCAGAAAATGCTTAAAAAAATGCTCGAAATACTGTATGCCATGAGCTGGGGGTTTTAGGGCGGCAGGGCACGGTATATTAAGCGAATCGTTTGGAGGCTGACTAGGGTGGACTCGGGCAGGGGGTTGGGGTACGGTAGAAAGGGCAGATTTTAGCCTTTGATTTTGCAAAGATTTTTCAGTAATTTTCAGAGTTTACACTTTGTAAAATTTAAATTTTGGTGGCCTGTAATCCACAAGAAAATATACGAAAGCTATAAATCTATAATTTCCGCAATTTTCAAATTTCGTCGAATTAAATTAAAGTTAATTTAATTTAATTAATCATAAAAATTGTAATTTGTTAGGTTTTTAAAAGTCTGATACACCAGGCAAGACTTTACGAATTTTTGCGTAATTTCCGGAATTTATGAAATATTCGGACATTACAAAATTTCTGAACGTCTAAAATCTGCCCGAGCTACAGTACCCGAACAAATATGCAAATTAGGCGCATTCAATGGCATTGAGCATCTACTAGACGACCGGCAGCAAGGGGTCGAGCGCTTTCGTGGGGGCTTGGATGATGACGTTCGCCTCGTCGGCCCGTTCCTCGACTACCGTATTCCGTTTCGTGTCGAGACCTAGAAAAGATGGGAATATTCGTGTTTAGTTTCTAGTACGTGCCCGTACTAAACACAGCCCCAGGTATCAACGACAGCAAGGAGGGCAGGATGAGGAAGCCGTGCAGCAGGCCGAGGACGACGACGATGGCGATTGTCGTCACGAAGACCTGGAAAATTAATCTAGAAGATGATCAAGGTTTTAAAGGGACGGGCAAGTCATTGGCTTGGAACAGATTACTCAACGGAAACATGGCATGCGTGTCGCGTTTCGCGCCGGCGGCAGTTTAAAGGTAGCGTGTCAGCCGATTTTTTGTTGCTTTTCAGCTGGTCATTTACCTGCGGCGTGTAGTCTGGATGTATCGACACGGGCAAAAAGCAGATCATCGTCGACGCGGCCGCCTGGATCATCGGCATACCGACGGCGTTAATCGCAGAATGAACGTACTCGGAGGGGTCGGAATTTCTGAAAAGTTGGATTTTTCAGGTCAAACAGCTTCAAGATGACGAATTTCTAACCATCTTGGACTTGTGGAAATCGCTGTCTACAAATGTCTTACGGTGGTAACGTCCCGTGCGCCTTGTGGAAGTGGTAGCAGATATGGGCCGTGTAGTCAACCGAAAAGCCAATCGACATCACGATGGCCACCATGGTGATGGGGTCTAGGTCGAAGCCGAGCCACGAGAGCGAGCCGAACACCCCTGAAAAAGATTGTTTAGCCACGCCTAGATACGAAAATCCCTTCACATTCTTAGAGCTGCCCGAAGATTTCGCTACCCACCAAAACTAATACTGCAGATGGCAAACGCCGCCGCGCAGACGCCGATCAACGACGGGACGAAGAGCATGCAGACGAGCACCATGCTGCCCAGGGTGAAGGCGGCCGTTTGGTAGGTGGTTGGACCCATATCTATAATTTCCAGATTTTCGAATAGAGCGATAAACCCACTGAAAATGCCATCATAGACCGCCGAGTTTTCCGAGTAGACGGTGACGTTGAACTGCTTCCACTTGTCGGCGACGGCGCGCCAGCTGGAAATGAGGTTTAGAGAGGTTTTTCTCGCTCTCTCTCTCTCGCTTTCTCTCTCTCCCTCTCTCTCTTGCTCCCTCACGCTCTGTCCCTCACTCTTGCTTTTGAACGAACTTGTTCATGTTCTCCGCCCGCTCGTTCCACGAGTTCGCGTTGTGGAAACCAATGTAGAAGACGAACGAGTCGACAACCGCGTTTCTAAACCAGAATTTATTAATTTGAATCTTCACGAGTACGAACCCATTCTCCCGGTGCCATTTCACCGAAGTATTCCACGCGCTGCCGACGTTGTTCAAGAAGTAGGGCACATCGCTGTTGTCCAGCCGCGTGTTCATCCCGAACGCCGCGTAGAAAGACCAGATCTTGTTCATCGCCTGGAAGCAGGATAGAGGTGAGGTCTCAAGAATTAGATGCGTAAGACTACGCCCGTACGTACCAGCTCGTAGTCGTTGAGCCACAACATGGTGGCGTTGGCGCCCAAGCACCGGGGCAGGGCCTCGAACTCGTGGACCATCGACTTGAACGACTCGTACTGGGCCTCATCGCCAATGTCGGGCGGCGCGTTGACGTACACATAGGCGGCTTCGAATTCCTAAAAGAAATGCGTTAGGGGGAGGGGAACTCAGAGGGACTAGAAAGCGTCAGAATCGACCCGCTACTTCCACTAGGTCTCGACAACCCGGTTTTGCGACAAAAGCGGCTTGACACGACATTTTTCTACATTTTAGCTTGTGTTTTGCGTCATTCTCTCGCGTGCAGCTCTCTGTCCTCTCTCTCTCTCTCTCTCTCTCTCTCTCTCTCTCTCTCTCTTTCTCTCTCTCTCCCTCACCTTCCACACATGCTCCCTCAGCAGACTATCTGAAATCTGGAGCGGTGAATCCGATGGGATGATCCGCGTCGAGTTGATCTGCACCTGGATCGTGAACGCGCCGTAGACGCTAGAAAATACGTTAGAACGGCTACGATAGATTCAAAATACCTGAACGCAAAGAACATGGCCGTCGCGCCCATCACAACGAGTTGAACAAGTGGCCGGGTGATGAACTTTGAGTAGTCAAACATCAGCTTGGAGATGAATTTGGATGGGGTGGTGGAGGACATTGTGCCGGCCTGGAAAAGGGGAATAGCTTTCTCTCTCTCTCTCTCGCTCTCTTTCGCCTCTCTCTTCTTCTGTCTCTGGCTCACCTTGTAAAATCGTCCCGAAACCGCCAGCAAGCTGCAGAAGCAAATGATCTCGAAAACAATGTCGACCAGCATGGCGATGGCAGCAACGATTGAGAAGACCTAAAATTCAGATTTTCTACCGTAAGCCTGAACTTAAGGCTAGTCGAAGCCGAAGGTCAGCATGCCTCAATTGACCTACCTGTATTGCCGGCGGCGCAAAATACGACCCAACCGCAAAAGCCAAAAAGTTAGTGAACGAAGTCAGTAGCATCGAGGGGCCGACCTCGACGAGGACCTAGAGAAGTCAATTTTCAAAGCGTAAATCATGCTACAGTACCTTTGACAGTAACACAGAAATGGCCTCCGTGCGCGTCTCGTACTTGACCTTGTCGATCTCTTCGAGGGCTTGGCTCCAGCAGTGCAGGACCAGGAAGGCGTCGTCGACTCCTGGAAGAACAAGCTTGAAAGCGAGAGAGAGAGAAAGAGAGGGAGAGAGAGAGAGAGAGAGAGAGAGAGAGAGAGAGAGGAGAGAGAAAGAAAGAAAGGTGAGAGGAG